TCTTGATGAAAATCCTACCCCTTCCCTCATCCTACCTCTTCCCTGCTAATCGTGCCCTCTGACAAATGGAGCTCGCAAGACATTTACACATCTCGGCGAGCGTGCCACCTTGGTCGTCTTTGCATCCTTCTTGAACTGTTCAGTGCTGGATGGACAAGTTCAGCGCAATTGAAGGCTTTTGGCGTTTAGAATGTACTTTAATGTACTTTGCAACAAGGACCTGCGCCACGTCGAAGGACCTGCGGCAATTCTTTGGAGGCACCCAGCGGCCCAGCTTTGCTGTCTGGGTCAGAGTGGGAGAGGTTTAAAGGCCCAGCTCTGTAGGCCTGAGATGCTCATCTCTTAGTACGGCTTGGGTTTGGTTTTGACATCATCCACTGTATATGCCCATGCCAAGCTTGGACTTGATAGGACCTAGAGTGTGTCCTTGTCACGATCAGTTCAGAGCGGCACACGATGCTCCGAAAGAGAGAGAAGACACAAACTTGAACTCAGAAACCACATGATCCTTCCACAAACAAGTGCTTTTTGTTTGCAAGATAGTGTGTTTGCCTACGTCCAAAAGAATGTTTGTTATTTAGCTTTAGGATGCTTTAGGATGGTTTAGGACACTCCTGCATCCGAATAAGCTTGGAAACTCCGCCCTCAACTCCCCTCAACTCGTCCATCCCAAGAAGTCAGCTCCCGTCCTCAGCATCCGAGTCACCTGAAGAAATGCCAATCTTGTGTGGCAAGCATAGTAAGGCACCTTGTTACTAGTAGCGATGCACCTTCTTAATAGTAGCTTCTTGTTACTACTAGTAATGCCCTTGTTACTATGGGACTTCGGCATGGGGGCAGGCGAACCGGAGCAGGGCGATGTTGGGTCGAGTAGCAGACCCTTCTACACTGTGAATCGACCGGAAGCGACTGGCCTGATTAAGGAAGTCCAGCGCTGGTCTGCAAGTCCAGAATCAGAAGACATATGTTCTGGAGATCAAGCCGAAGCTGTTTCCTGAATCTCGAAACCAACACTCTTTTTCTTCTGAATCGCTGTCTTCAGACACCGATTCACCCCACGGGAACCCCACGGATGGTGATCCGGTGACCCCAACAAATGAGCAAGTGGGCCACAAATGGCCACAGCAAAGGCCCCAGGCAAATCTTGTAAAGCTGAAAAATCCAAAGACTCAGGCTGGGGTAGAGGCCTTGTTGTAGGGCCAAGCGGTTGGCTTTAATTCAAAGGATCACACACTTTTGGCTATGAAGCTTCAGGTACCTTGGAGGTGCTTTTGGCCTGAGCCATGCGATGGCTTTATTCTGCACTGTGATGCAAGACTGTTTCGCTACAGATTCTTTACACCACAAGTACATAAGCATAAACTTCTGAAACCTTTTGGTGATGGTTGGATTGGATATGTTTCAGCCAGAAGGGTTGGCAAAGCTGGATTCCACCTTTCCCTTCAGCTTGCCTCGATGCTTGTCCTTCTTGTCCTGGCTAGTCTGGCCCTCCCAATGAACATGGAAGCCCGAAACCACTTCTTCGTGGCGTCGTCCTTCTGGCAAAAAATACTTGTGTTCGATTAAATCCTCAAACAAGCAGAATGTCCAAAGCCACATCACCTGCCAGCACGCTTTCGTAAACCCTCCATGCTGGACATGAGGTCTGGCATCAAGAAAAGACATGAGGTCTGACCACCCGAGTCTCAGCACCGAAACATCCGAGACTCAGATCTGTGGCAAAGGTTCTTCTTCTGGCTGGTAACAAGAAACTGGTCACTTCTCCAGTTCTTCATAAGACACTTCAATCTCAAGTGATCTTCGAGGTTTCAAGAGACCTCATCCCCCAAAACCAAGAGATGAAGCAGAATGAAACTGGTGTTTGTTTTTTCAAACTTTTTCCTTCATCCTCCTCTCCTGGTTCTGTCGCTGCGAATGAATCCCAGGAGACGTGGGAACATCTCATCTGAACTCGAGGCGAAGGACTCCGTTGCTGGGAGCAAGGTGGTCCGGGTTTTGTGTCTCGTGGAACTCTGGAGTTCCAAAACAATCTATTGCTGTATAACTCCAGTATAGATCTGTGGGGATGGCCCAAACTCTGTGGTTGATGGAGGTCTGTAATCCTGGAGCTCTGTATTTATTTTTAAAATAAACATATCTTTTAAATAAAAAACACAAAACTATGGTTGATGGCCCCAAACTCTGGTCCAGTCGAGAATCCCTTTGGTGTCACCAACATCCAAATGTGGACCACCCCTCGTAGCGGTCTCCAGACGGTTGCCAAACATTCTCTTTCCAGATTCCAGAAGTCAGAGTCATTGGAGCTCAAATCGACCAACAGTCGCACAAGACACTTGCTCCAAGCAGGGCCCGCGCCTTTTTCTTTTTGTCTTTCTTTTTCTTTTCCTGCGCCAAGCTCGACCCCTGAACCCACAGAGACACACTCCGTTTAACGCAGAGGGGACATACACACACACAGATAGATAGGGACCCAATTCGGGCGACCAGATTCCGCCACGCCAGGCGCCAGCCATGCGTGTTCAGCTGCGCGCTTCGGCTCAGCTCCCGCCTCTTTGGGATCTTTCCTGGGCCGCAAACAGTTTTTTTCAGGACGTTTTTCCATGAATGGACCGCATGCAAACATCCAATGGATGCGTCTTCAGATTCATGTACCTGGCCGTTCCAAAACGATCCAAAAACCGCGTTCCGAAACGAGCTGAATTCGCGTTCCAAAACGAGACGGCGGCCCCCTAAGATTCCAACAGCCCTTGATTTAATGGTCTTGACCGAACAACCTTGCACTGAGGATTTTAGACTACAAAGTCAGGCCAACCTTTCTTTGAATGGGCTTTGAAGGCTAGGGCTATGGCTGGGATATATCCCTCACCTTCACCACCACATATGCCGAGCCATAAGAGAGACCTAGAGGCCTATGCTTCGGATTCCCGTTTTCCGCTCCGCTTCCATTTGCATCACAGGCACGTCCGTTGGGTCTTGTCCAACTTGGAGGTATCGATGGCATCACTGATCTCGGTACCACCCGTGCGGGTGGGTGACGGTGAAGCTCTTCGCTCCTGGAAGCGCGTGCACGTGCCGATGACACAGCTGGAAGCTTTCTCCCTTCCTCTGCTCTTTCCTCGTCTTTTATGCCACGTTGGACCTGTTTTTTTTGGGGGGTTGTTTGGGACCTGGAACATGGGGAGAGCAAATGGACCCCGGACCACCAAACTGGTGGACCAGTCATGAAAACAGCCGGATCACTCCCTGGGTGGGCACACAAGGATTTCATAAATGAAAGCCCAGTAATTCAGATTGGTTCGTGGTCTTTGCCATTTGCAGCACGTCCACGCAAAAGCTTTTAGGGCCAAAACTAGAAGGCTTTGAACTGGAGGCTACCCATCATGTCCCATCAGATCCCATCGAGTCTACTTCCGCAATGACAAGGATGTTGTCCAAGGAAATGACCCCGAAAACCTCCAAAAACAAACCACACAAGGAAAGTCAAGGAAAGCCACAAGAAACCGTCAGTCTTGTCAGTTGACGTGGATCTTACAGCAGTCACATCCATTTTCTGGACTCGTCCAACTGAATTCACCGGAATACATCACCCTAGCCTAGCTACAAGTAGTAATGCCCTTGTTACTAGTAGCGATGCACTTGTTAAAAAGAACCAGAGGGGGTCCTTCTTGATCTTGTCAGCGCTGTGTGGCCGCAGTACTGGGCGTGGCTTTGGCCGCAGCGTCGCGTCCCCATCGCCGGCGAGCTTCGGCAAGGAGACAGCGGTGCGGCACATCTCGCGGATGCCCTGCGCGGGGCCCAGCTGGCGACGGTGCTCCTGGAGGGTGACGGTGAAAGACCACTCCAAAATCGGCGGGAAGGAAGAGTGATTCATCGACGACTGGACCATAGACATGTACGGTTAATCAATACGACGGTAGCCTGGTCCTAGCTGGATCCACCATGGGCTATAAATTATAGAAATCGTATACGTCACGTGTCATACATACGTGGAGACGAGGCTGCGCGGCGGTCGAAACCAATCTCGACTCTAAGCGCTTCTCCTGTTGTGAAGAAATCATGAGGTCCCCCCACCTCCCCCCCACGTCTTTTCCCCGAGCAATTTGATGATCCACACATGATTCATGATGGACATTTCTGAGTGGGTCTTCTTTCCAGCAAAACGATGGAAACCACGGGTGCTGTGCACCAAGCTCTTTGAGTGCACTGCAGCCTTGGAGTGCACCAATGGTGTTGCCCCATGAGGAGCCTTAAGAAGCACAAGGAGTACCTTGCTTCCCTTGAAGAAACTGGGTTAGGATTCGAATGGTTGCGTTCGCTCCAAAGAGGCATACTGCTTCGCGGAGCGCGGTGTGTCGTTGGGCCTTGCTCCGCTGATCTCAACAGCCGCGGTGAGTCGAGAGTGGCTGTAAGTCAACTCTTCTCTACACAAAGCGCGACACGGAAACAGGTTGATTGCACGACGTGTTTTTGATGATATGGTTTGAGACCTAAATTTGCTGTTTATGTGTGATCTCGGTGAGGATGTTTCTGGTTTCAAAGCTCTAAACAAATGCTCATAAATAGTTCAAGAATGCTCAGGCTATTTGCAGTTTGGTTCAGGACTATCTACTGGCCTTGAAAGAAACCATTTCTAGAGCTATTTTGCAAAAGTTCAGATTGAAAAATGTTCAGGACTACTTCATTCTTCTTTGTTTTCTCCAGGTGTTTTGTTTGCTTGCTTGCTGTATTTTACTTGTTGTATGGGTAGACCATGAGCATATGACAATTGCACTGGACACCTCAGCAATCTTGAATCGTACAACCAAACAACCAGTCCAATTATATGTATAACATAATTATATATATATATATATTATATCCACATATACAATAAACAAGCAAACAAAATGCACCTGACATCCGTACCGCTGCTGATGACCTTGAAAGTAGATCGTGTACTTGTGGACCAAAAACCACCCTGGCCCACACCCGAACTTCCGCTTTCACCGGCCATGGGGGGCTCAAGCTCGTATTGTTGGTCCAATCTTCGTCCAGTTTGAGCTTCTTCCTGGTGCCCTGTCCTTCAGGATCTTGCTGTATGATCTGACCCAATCTTGCTTCTCGATCGAGGCATCCACCAAGCGGGCCGCAGTCCACGCTGGACTACGAGCATCCAGTGGCTCCCGCAGCTTGTAAGGTGGCCCCACAGCCACGGTGCCATGCCTGAGGTGTCCCCACTGTCCGGGGAAGCGACCGAAAAACTCATATCTGGTGCAAAGCCCCGTTCGTAGCGTCCGATTGCTCCGTTCGTAGCGATGCCAGGAGCCCCGTTCGTAGCGAACCTTGTTCCTAGTAGTAAGGCCAGGAGCCCCGTTCGTAGCGTGCGCAGTGGTGTTTCCTTATTCTCATACACCGGTCTCCAGACCTTTCTTTTGAGCTTCGTTTGGGTCCAGGTGATCATTTGGGTCCCCGGCCGGGACACCACAGTCCATGCGGGTGTACACACTTTCTCGACGGGGGACATATTGAGTAGGAATCGGGTCCCGTCCAGCATCCTGTTTTTTCCGTGAGCCGTGAGCATGGGATACCATTCAGCTGCAACAGCCTTTTTCAGGAAATTCTACCTTCCTTCGCTTAACTTGTATTTGATGGTGAAGTGTTGAGAGCACAGCAAAAAGCCTTTCGTCCTCCCATAAGCAAAAGCGGCCAATCGACACAAATGATTGGATTCAGCCAGAATGGTCTCAAACTAAGGTCCCTTGAGCTACAGCCACCAGTCGTTCTTTTTGCCAGTTGTTGTATGCTATTTGTTTCTTCTTTCCCGCGGCCATGCGCGGCCGCAGCGTACGCGCACCCGGTTGCCCACCTGTACGCATGACGCACGTAGCAAGGGGTATGCAAGTCATCCGTCGACTGCTTGCCGACCAATTGAGGCAGTCGTGGATTGTCTTTCCACTTAGGTCGTAGACCTGTTCCATTCATGCCTCGAACAGGTCGAGCGAGAGACCATGCGCGTGACCCGAGAGAGACCCGCAGCCTCCGATCTTCAAATATGCTAGGTAATTCAAAAAAATATTGATAGAAAGTAACTCCTCTGAACATCTTGAACACCGTTTGTCTACGTCCATATTCGGGGGGACCACTACAATTTGATGGATCTACAGTTGCTAGACTTGCTGGGACTCATCAAACTGCCACTGATCTCTGCTGGACAATATGTACAGTATGCACTGGCTGATTGGGAGTATTCTTCAGAAGGCGTCTTGAACCCCCAAGAAGGTCGGATGTTGTTTCATGTTGTTGATCATCGGCCATGGGTAACAGCGTTACAGTCATAGCTGTTGAGGGTCTCCCGGTCTCATGTTGCACATCACAACGATTCTGATCTCATCCCTTCGACTTGGACACATCGTTCGCCTCTCCACCACTTCGCGAGCGAGCGAGTCGGGGTTTCCGCTTCTCGCCTCCGTACATGCCAGCCCAGCAGAATTGGGTATTGAAGCTTCCACCCATCGCTTCAAATTGGGCCGTTTCCTGGCGACCGTCCACAAAGAGCCGGACCAAACCACCACATGATTATGATTGATGAGAACAAAACACACAAGATTCGGTCATGAGGTGAAATGATGTTGAAGAAAAACACCAGCACTTGGCAATTGGTGCCCTTTTGGCTCCTTGAAGCCTCCGTTTGGCTCCCTGGCAGTCCTTGAAGTCCGCACCCTTCCGATCCACCTGGCTTTCTATTCAAAGAAGCAGCGACGTGGTTGAAATACATGTCAATCGCCAAAAGACATCCGCCGCCCCCCGGGTTTACACGGCATTTCGAGCGAGAGCGGAATGTTTAGGACAAGCCTAGGCCTGGGGAGTGCGGTGAGTGCGGGGCGATGTGGGTCAGCTGCAAAAAATGGACGTTGCAGCAGTGGTGGGGGGCAGGCCGAGTAGAAACTTTCCGAGGATGTGTTTCTTGAGCAAATGTGGTGAGAGCAGCAGAAAGAACTTTGGAAGACGTGTTGTGTTTTGGTTTAAACATGTTGTTAGCTCTCTCTCTCTCTCTCTGCCTGACGGAAACGCAAGCTGCGGCGCCTCCCTGCTCCCTACTCCTTGGGGTTGGCCAGATCAACAGCTTTCATCAACGTTCATCCATGTTTCCCAGTGAGTTGCCCCAGGTCGAAATCAACGTTTGACACTGCCACGAGGCGACCGGCTCCCGCGTTTCTCTGGCTGCCTCTGGCTTTGGGGAGCGGCTGCGGTCTGGCAAAGGGAAAGGAGTCGATGGCCCAAGGAGTCGATGTTGGTTGGTTAAGCATCCCCAAGGAGGGACTTAGCAAAAACGATCTTACTTCCCATTCAATCGAAGACAGTGAACCTCTCTTTCTGTGTACCCAATGCATTCCTTGGCCACCCCAAATGTCCCACTGAATCATAGAAGGTCTCGACCAGATCTTTGCCAAAAGCTTCAGGGGCGTCCCTGGCACCAAAACTTCGGTGTATTCTCAAGGACTTCGAAAGGTTCGTTTCAGAGACGATTTTTGTCTCGGACATTGTGATGATCTGTCTGGTCAAAGTTGATATGGGTGTATCATACTGGTAGGTCGTTTCTCACCCTGTACATCCTGAGGAGGGAAAACTACGGTTGGTGTATAATGTCCTGCACCGCCTTGTGCACGCCATGGGGAATGCCAAAGTACTGAAAACAGAAAAGGTTGAATGTCCAAAATCATCCACGATCCTGCACCACCTCCTGAGAAGCCTTAAAACATTGACATGATCCTTGGGAAGCCCAGAGGCGAGGTGGTGCAGGATTTCATCCAGCAACATCTTCGTGTTCACAATGAGAATAAGCTCTTGGGTCTTCAAGCTGTCTTGGCCAAAAAAAAGAAGGGCAAACCTAAAAGGTACCCTGCAACATAGCAAAGAACACCTGGCCACTCAATCCACCAACTTGACTTCCGTTCGCCCTCTTGACGTCCATGATCTGCGACCCGCGGAGAAGACGACGACGAAGCGCAGACCGGCGTGCACCGCCTCCGCCTTTCTTGGGCGACGCCCGGGCAGAGTCAGTCGGCTTTGGTGAGGTGGGGCTGGCCTGGAGCGAAGATGACGGGCCGTGGGCCAAGGCAGCCCACACGGCAGCCACCACAACCGTGTTCTCAAGCCCAAAAAGTCTTTGATTTGGATCTATTTTTTGTTGGGGAGGTCGTAGAGGAAAGCTCACTCTTCTACCCTTTGGACATGATGTGGGCATGATGGAGAAGTCATCTTGCATCAATCACCAGCTGACCCGCTGTATATCATGCCCAGTGGTTGCACAGTTTTTGCCTATCAACTGCAGGACGGAAAACCTCCTGTGCTCTGACACCAGTTGACCCCCCACACCAAACATGTTGACATGACCTGGTTCTCCGCAAGTCTGAAGTCCCCAAACCTCCGGTTTCTTCGCAGATTCTTTCAGTGCGACTGAAAACTCACTGAACTCCGCCGCGAACTTGCCTTGCCCGGAACCACCACTTCGGTCTCGTCCGCCGCGCTCGTGACCACGTCGGCATCGCTCTTCTTCCGGCCGGGTGGCTCGGCCTCGGGCGGAGCGCGAGCACTCACGCCGAGGCTCTTTTCACTTCGTAGCGTGAGAGTCTGGAAGACTTCGCGTGGCGAATGAGTTTCAGGACTTGGAGGTTATAAAGGAGGGGGATCGCTCTGACCCAATGGGGAAGACGTTTTTGTTCATGATACGGGATCCAAGCGGGTCGTCTCGCCGTTTTGGCACATACACACATATTGTAATTCATTCGTATATATTGTTATATATTGTACTGCAGGTTACAAACCAGTAGTTTGCGCAGCATTTTTGTGATGCCCCAGGGCACCAAAATGCGAACATCAGCCTTCACAATTGAGGAGAAACAGGGCTCTCCATCCCAAGTCACGAACACAAAAATTATGATGATTTCTTGCTGGATTAGTGATGAGTCATCAGTCATCCTCTACTACCCAGGATCTCTGGTCCTAGTTGGGCAACGACAACACTTGGCCGCCTGGCCAATGGACACCGAAAAGCCAACGCCACCATGGACATCGGATGACATGGGTCTATCGGTCTATCCTCCATGTCAGACAACGCGAACACCCCATGGTTGCCCGATGGGGGATAGACCCCGACATGGTTAACAAAGACCCGGACCACCCCATCGTACCAATTTTCACAATGGCCCAAAAAAAGTAATTAGTTGCGACTTGGCAATCATTGCCCACCGCCCTCAAAACATGGCCTAGTTCGGCCTCTGTTTAATTGCTGAGTTCCGTTGCCTAACTGTTCAGTCGACTTCAGGGTCAACGGGGTGCCATGGTGCCATGACGACCGTAGCGGTCGCTCGACCGTTGGGGAGGCAACCGTTGTTCCAAATTTCAGGCCCAAAATACACCGAAGGTGCCGAGGGCGTTATGGAGGCTTCGACCGCGAAGCGGCGTGAATACACCCATGTGCTGGTGTTTTTTGTTCAACTGTGCTTAGATTTTTTCAACTGCGATCAAGAAGTGTCGTAAACAAGAAGTTGAAGAATGTCGTAAATAGATACAATTACAAACAGTGTGTTTGATTCATTTCGAAACAGGATTGCCAGGGATTGAGAATGGTGATAAATCATGTTACTGGCAAAGCAGTTTACTTCATATAAATATTTGCGTGGTGTTGATTATATAGACAAACATGTTAGACGATCTGCGTAGATCCTCGTCCCGAGTCTCCCTTGCGACAATACCAAAGGTATATATAGATATACTACATGATACTACATATAGCCAACCTTAACGGTGGACAAAAACTCAACCCACGAACGGATGTCGTCCCTTTTTGGCGACCGTGCGACCGTGAAAGTTACTCCCCTGCAGATTAAGATGGAACCCCTCAACCACTGGGTTGTAGAGGAAAATGGTCTTCCACCGGTCAATTCTCAGGTTCCATGTTAGTTTGCGCGGGGTTATCTTAGGGCCCGTGCTCCAGGTGGAACTTCCAACTTCGTTGAGGGTGACACCGGCTCCTTCTTCGCAGCTGGCTTGGCCTCAAATTGTCAAGATGCTGGGAGATTTTCGAAGAAGCGATTGCACTCTAAGGGCACCATCATCATAATTATCAGAATCATTCAGAATCATACACTATATTATATCCTACAGATCTGCGTGCTAGCAATGTATCGCATTGGCCGTTGGCTTTCGCGGTGCTTTGCACTGCTTGCTGGTATCCTCCCCTCGTGACGAGCTGAATTTGTCGCAATCAGGCGTCAATCCGTGGAAAGTCCAAAGTCTTGTCGCACAACACGACACCGGCAACCAGCCAAGTGGCCGCGCGCGCATTTGGGCGCCTAGGGGTCTATGGCCTATTTTGGAGATCGGTTGTCCAGGCCTTTATCGACGTTCAGAGATGACATGATTTTTCCGGGGTCACGCTGGCGCCAAAGGAATATGCTTTTACCCTTCAGATACGTCTAGGCTGTCTCTGCACCCGGCATACTTCTTTCCCTCCCTTCCTTTCGTCGTTCCATGTGGTTTCCCATCAAAGTGTTCCACATCAAGGTGCATGTGCAAACAACTCCTCTCATTCCACTCACGCGCTTTTCTTCTCACTTCTTTTTCGGCATCGCAAACTGCATCGCAGGCTTCGCAGGCGGCATTGAGAAATCACTCTTGTGAGTGCATCCTCAATTTGCTTCAAGCTCTGCTTCTCGACCCATCTGTATTCTTCAATTGGGTCTCTCTTCACCTCCGTCTGTGGCCCATCTGTATTCTGCAACGCCCAGCGAGCAGAGCGTACCATGTGCCGCGCCAGCTGAAGACTCCGGACCAGGCGTGGCTTCCGAGTTGGGCGCCCACCTTGCAAAGGCGGCTGAACACCTTGAAAAGGTGCTTGAGAAGAAACCAAGATGGTTTTCCAAACAGGTGAAGTCATCAAGCATGGGACCAGAAAACAAAACGGCATCTTGCTCAAAGAGGAGATCGTGTGAAACCCAAAAATACTCCCCAAAAAATGACCACATCAGCCTAAGAGTTTAAGAGGTTGTAAGCAGGTCACACAAAATCCTTTCATTCGGCCAAGTTTGCTGTTGTGAGACACACTGCACTTCCATGTTCTATAAGTACATTGTACATTGGTTTTCTGGCGGTGACCTGTTGGTGAATTGCTGTCAGTATAAATCTTGTGATGGATCAAAGCCCGTACTTCTTCCCAGAGCAATTGTTTGAGCGTGGAGAATGACCTGGTTACGGGGACAACATGAACGCCAAGTGAACACAAGTGAGCATCTCTCCTCGAATGAACACATAGGCCAGACGTGCCGGTGCTTTGGGTTTGGGTTTGACACATCCTACTGTTGATGGCAAGTGTGGCACGCTCCAACTTAAGTGTAGTCTTTGATGACATACTATCTCACATGTATCCTTTGTGGCCTGCAAGGCATGGCAGGTCCACGGTCGGCGATGTCTTAGCCAAGGCAAAAGCCACAGCTTCAGGACAAACAGTGCGTCCAGTTCCTTCGACTCATTCTCTCTTGTTGTCTCGGTGAAGCCATCGATTGAGGCACCGATTTGAGGACTTTGGGAGGCACGGTTTGATGAAGTCTCAAAACCTCCGCAGGCCTGGGGAGTTCATTCATCAACAGTTTTCAGTATTGAAGCCAGCAGGTGGGCAGGTCTGGCCAAACAGATTCGATTTTGGTGTTGGACCCCGGGCGAAACATGTATCGAGGCAAGATCCTGGGTGTGCATATGCTGAAGCTTCCAAGGGAAAAAAGCAATGACCAGCGGTCACACAAGGGTGTTTGCAGATACTAATGTCCAGTGTTTCTCAGTAGCAAAGAGCATCAAGGATCCCAACTTCAGGAAAAGAGCCCACGCACACACCTATCAGGAGCATCCCTTCGTGGTCACCATCCTCGGCTATCATTCATCAACTGGTACGGGGCCTGGCTTTTCTTTGGCCCCAACGCATGCTTTCGACCGCCCGTGCCACCTGGGCGTTGCTCCGCCCGTGCCCGCCGTGCCGGCGGGGGCAGCGCCGTGGGCAGCGCGCCTGCACGGGCGGCCAAGGACCGGCGCAGCTGCGCTAGGAGGGCTGCTGCGCAGCACTCCTCCGGCTTGGAACAAGCAAACAAAGAACAACTTGAGACACAATGAAGAAGAAAACACCAGATTTCGAAGCACTGGGTCTAATCTGAAAGACCGATATCATATATCTGTATATTGGAGCTTCATATCATTGAGGATTAATCTTCATGAGATACCTTCGGCATGTCGCATGGCCTTTGAAGTTCATGCAGCACCAAGAGTCAAACATCAACTGCCAGCATGGGCCTGCACCCTCCAGCACATGTTTCCTGGTGACAGCAGGTGCCCCAAGACCACCCTATCAAGGCTCCCCCAAAACCGCCCAGACTTGGAGGATCCTGGTGGAAACATCCACGGATTTGGAGTCGCATCTTGGCCGTCTGTTTTACACATCACTCAGCAACAAGGAACACCACGGGGACCCGTGTCTGGTTGGCAAATGGACAGATCTCCCGCACCAAGAAGCTCCAAGACCGTGATCTGGAGAAGCTCCAAGACAGGGTTGCGAATCACGAAGACCGAATCAGATAGACATTAAAATAGAATACTATAGAGATAAATCCGGTCGTTTGGCGTCTGGAACAAAACATGACGAACAAACACAAACATCTCCGAATGACCCCATTCACACCTGCCCCCGTGGCCGAGGACAAATGCCCAATCCGCCCAGCACGTCATAGGGGTTCAGCGCAGTGCCTCGGTGCCCGGCGCCGGGGGCCCGTGCCGAAGCCCGTCCACGGAAGGAGCCTGAGGAAGTATACGGCATGATATCATATGTATTCATATATATATATATAATTATATATATATATCCATATCTCAGGTGATGAAAGCAGTTTGCTCTTCAAACTGTAGGGTACCAAAACTCTCCCTCAATTGTGTTCCGAAAGCCGCCACAAAACAAAAAAGTCGAGGGTCCTTGCCAAAATCACAGATCACGGAACATGCCAAAGGGTTTGATATGGTTTGACACGGGTGACCAAAATCCAATGGGATTAGAGAGACCAACGGGTACTTAGTGCCAATGGTGCCCATGAGCCCTCTTCTTCGGTGGCTCAACCCATTCTGTCACCACCGGGAAGACGCCGACCACCATGAGGTCGGTTGCCCTCTAAACGGAGTGGTCAAACCACCATGAGGTCAGGCACCTGGTGGTGTCACATCTTCGAAAGAAAGTCTACTCTGCAGAATGTGTCATGCACATTCTAGAGTCAAGTCAAGCCCACTTGAATGGCATGTGTTGCACCGTGTAGGTCAACGAAGCTCTGAGATCATGTCCGCCGTGCAGGGCCTTGGCCCTGGTTTGACCAATAAAGGCCAGTGGCCGCCAGTAACGAAGCCGAAGGAAGAAAGAAGTCGTGCAGATGGCAGGGGCCCATAAGTGTTGAAGATCTCGTGGCCAGCAGGCACCGAGCGGATGGCGCGCATCACAAAGGCCAGGCCTTCTACAGCACAGCCTTCCAACTGGCACTCATTGGTTCCGATCGTGGCATGGTTGAAGGCGTCCGCAAATGGAACCATGAAGGGTCCTGCCATGATGGCTGATGACATGGAATGGATACGTTTGAGCCCCACTGAATTTCTCCATATATCCGAAGTTGGCACAAACTTAAACAGGTACATGTCAGCTTGTTCTACTTGCAACCTTGTTCTACTTGCAACCTCTATGGAAGAATTACTCAACCGGGAAATTGCTCAGCCTATTTCAACCGATCCCAAGTCGATCTTCCGTTTGAATAGCAACTATGGAAGAAAGGTCCTTGTTTCAGGCTGGTCATGACCTGCCATCTGAGCCTGGAATCCGCCCACTTTCTGGCTCAGATGTGACCAATGTCACAAACATCGTCACGGCAACCATCAGAATAGCAGTGACAATTATCACGTCAACCATGCCAGAAAACATACAAAAGAAGAAACACGCGGATGATGGTCGCTTCGGACCCCGCATCCACGATGTGCAAGTCCTTGCCCAGACTTCCGCCGTCCTTGCCCCTGACATAGAAAGCCTCTAGAAAGAACTGCTCCAAGGGCCCGCTGAAAAGACTCGAAACTCCTGGCCACGAAAAAGACGGTGTTCTATTTTGCGCAGTTTAACCGCCCTGAAAAGCATAACACCACTGCTACGGAGGGAAGGCAGCGGTTGTTCCTGCCAAATTCAATATTCCAGCAAGTTCAATTGGGGAAATTTAGACTCTAAGTCCCTAAGTCAGGGGCGTCTCTAGAACTTCCGGTTCTTGACATTTTAAATTTGAAGCAATCTTTGGCCAGCTCTGCATCTGCTTGTGCAGAAAGTTCTTCACACCTTGACCTTGAAGCAGTGCTCAAGATCCATTTCTATCGTCAAGTGGGGCCAGCAAGAATGAACTATTCTAAATGAATATTTGGGGGGGGAGCTCAAGAAATTTGCTTCTGTTAATTTCTCGGGTGTTCCTTCATCTGTCTTTTTCAGCTTTACCACATTCAAGTGCCATCTATGATAATATGGTTGTGGGTTAAACTCAAAACTGTATAAAACTGACAGTTGATGTCTAAGTTGCCAGTGAAATCAGACTAACAATCTCTTGAATTAATACCAATGGGTTGGGACAAAGGATGTATGATACTCAATGTCTGCAGATCGATGCCGTCATGGCTGCTGCAAATGGATGAATAGATACACCTCGGCTTGGTCGATTCCTCTCACGAAGCGGATCGAAATGCATTCCAGCGTTCGACCGTTCGACCCCCACAAAGCCCAAATGGCTGCGTACATGTCCCTCTGTGCTAAAAGGCCCTAAAAACCACTGCGTATGGGGGTCTGGTCCCCTTAACCTCCCCTCACGGCCAAACAGGGAACCCTTGGCCTCGCCTGTCGCTCCACCACTCTCGGTGCTTTTCCAGGAAGGGTCCTCAAGGGACGACCGACTGCCTCTGCGACCCGACCGCCGTGTTATCTCCGAGGCCGGGCGTCCGGGTCGGTCGC